CCACTAACTGACACCTTCACATCGCTCATACCACTAATGACACCTTCACATCGCTCATACCACTAATGACACCTTCACATCACTCATACCACTAACTGACACCTTCACATCGCTCATACCACTAACTGACACCTTCACATCGCTCATACAACTAACTGACACCTCGCCGTTCATACCACTGACACCTTCACACTGCTCATACCACTAACTGACACCTTCACACTGCTCATACCACTAACTGACACCTTCACACCGCTCATATCACTAACTGACACCTTCACACCGCTCATATCACTAACTGACACCTTCACACCGCTCATATCACTAACTGACACCTTCACACCGCTCATACCACTAACTGACACCTTCACACCGCTCATACCACTAATGACACCTTTACACCGCTCATACGACTGACACCTTCACACTGCTCATACCACTAACTGACACCTTCACACCGCTCATACCACTAACTGACACCTTCTCACTGCTCATATCACTAATTGACACATTCGCACCGCTCATACCACTAACTGACACCTTCACACCGCTCATACTACTAACTGACACCTCCTCACCACTCACACCACTAATGACACCTTCACACCGCTCATACCACTGACACTTTCACACCGCTCATACCACTGACACTTTCACACCGCTCATACCACTGACACTTTCACACCGCTCATACCACTAATGACACTTTCACACCGCTCATACCACTAATGACACCTTCACACCGCTCATACCACTAACTGACACCTTCACACCGCTCATACTACTAACTGACACCTCCTCACCACTCACACCACTAATGATACCTTCACACCGCTCATACCACTGACACCTTCACACCGCTCATACCACCAATGACACCTTTCCGCCGCTCATACCACTAACTGACACCTTCACGCCGCTCATACCACTAATGACACCTTCACACCGCTCATACTACTAACTGACACCTCCTCACCACTCACACCACTAATGACACCTTCACACCGCTCATACCACTGACACTTTCACACCGCTCATACCACTAATGACACCTTCACACCGCTCATACCACTAACTGACACCTTCACACCGCTCATACCACTAATGACACCTTCACACCGCTCATACTACTAACTGACACCTCCTCACCACTCACACCACTAATGATACCTTCACACCGCTCATACCACTGACACCTTCACACCGCTCATACCACCAATGACACCTTTCCGCCGCTCATACCAGTAACTGGCACCTTCACAGAAAGATGTGGTCCACAACTAAGTTCTGCTCAGCAAATGTTGGTGCATTAGAGACAGTGGGGGTGCACTGGAGGGGGGTGTTTATGGTGTTGCTTAGGGCAGCACAAAACCTAAATACCCCAGTGCTCTACATGTATGTGTACCCCAAGCTGTGAACCACCATCTTAGTCAATTGACTGTACTATGCATGACCCCGAGGGGCCTTGGTGACATCAGACAAGGAGGCAAATAATGTTGGGGTTGGTTGTCAAGCAGTGAGCTACTTGATGGCCCTCCCGAATTTCCACAGTACCCCAGGCAAGAATACATAGAACAGCACAACAACATTGAGGTGATGTCTTGGTGCTTTCTGCTTGAACACCAACACCAAAATCATTTGCCTCCCAGCCTATAAAACCGTACATAACTCTAGAATACGTTTTTTCTATTGTATATTTAACCGCTTACTGTCCAGGCAAGTTTTTTTATTTTTCACATACGACTTAGAGCCTCTAAAACATTATATATGTTCTGAAAGCAGAGGCCCTGGAGAATAAAATGGTTGTAGCAGCTATTTGTTTATATCACACAACATTTGCACAGCTTTTTATCAACTACAAATTTTCAGGAACAAAATCACCGAAAATGAATTATATTGCACACAAACACAATGTAATAAAACATTTTTTGCACATTACGAAAGATGATGTTGTGTTGAGTAAATAGATACCTAACATACCAAGACTGGAAACTGAGTGGAAGAAACAGCAGCATACTACAGTTCCTAAAATTATTCTTTAAACACTTCCCGTCCAGCCCATGTATATAAATGGCTGGACGGTGGCAGTGCAAGGTCGGGTGGCCATTTATAAACGTCCTCCCCGCCCCCTGCTTTAGCACGCTCCCTGGGAGCACGCAGCACCGCGATCTGGTGCCCGCTGTGTCCTCCGGAGGGCGCAGTGGAAACCTGATCGTCGTACGGGACCTTTGTGCGAGGTTCCGATCATGTGATCACTGATTGGTCAATCAGTGATCACATGCAGAGTATTAAGCAAGATGTCACTTCTGACATCATTGCTTACTACGTGTTAAATCTGTGAATGATCACCGAGATCACATGGTACAGGGCTATTCAAAACAGCTTTGTACCATGTGACAAGCTGTGACCAATCGCAGCTCACTCAGTAGTTCTCAATGGCTTCAAGAATGCAGCCAGAGAGAAGGAGAAATGATTGCTTTTACAGCCTTTATGGGTGTAAAAGCAATCAGTGTAAAAAAAAAAAAAAAATCATCACCCCCCACAAGTAGTACAGTGTCACCATGGTGACACTGTACTGCTAGGGTGACAGTATGTGAAAAAAAAAAATAATAATATAAAAAAAAAAATAAAAATGTAAAAATAAATTTTAAAAATTATAATTTTTGGTTATAAACTAATTTGGGTTATTTATTTTTTTTACTAGAAAGAATGGAATAAATGTTGGTCAAGATTTATGATGAAATATTATGTATTTGCAAAATGTTATAAGAAAAACTTTTTTTCAAAATTTTGGACATTTCATTTATATAGCAAAACAAATAAAAATCCCAGTGGTGAGTAAATACCACCAAAATAAAGCTTTATCTGTCTCAAAAAAATGCTAAAAAAATTCATATGGGTACAGTGCTGCATGACCGCGCAATTGTCATTCAAAGTGTGATAGCACTGATAGCTGAAAATTGGCCTGGACAGGACGGGGGTGAAAGTGTCCGGACTTGAAGTGGTTAAACACCCTTGCAGGTAACATTGTAGAGTTAATTGTGGCGCAGAATTCTTGCTCTCGCTCTGATGTTCGTGGAGATACTTTACATGTGTGGTGCAGCCGCTGTTCACATAAGCCCACATTTGCATTTGTGTGTATGCATGGGGGGTACGTTTACATTTTTTCTAAAATTATTTTTTATTTTAATAAAATTTATTTACACTTTTTAAACTTTTTTTCGGGAAAATTCCCTACCACCTCAATGGTTTAAGAAACCAGAAGCAACAAATATCTGGTCAGTACCGGTTTTGCTGGTTGTAAACAAGCCATTTCTGACTTGGGGAAAGCATCAGATCAAACCGATCTTGGAGTGACCCAATACTTTTAGAGGGTCTCATAGACAACTGAGGACAACTTTCTGGAACTATTTACAAACCTTCTCTGCAGCACAGTCTAGCCAGCATCTCCTTAGTGTACCACCTCAGACTCTAGATGAACTTCTCCTCTTCACCCAGCAATCTGGAGGTATCCCTGAACAGGGGATATGGTTCCTGTCACTTTAAGAGATGAACAGTCACTGGCAGGTGGCTAATCTGGTTTTCCACCAGAGTGCTCCTTCCCCTATCCACCCAGGGGGGTGTAGGTGTACTCAGATCCTTTCCTTGTGGGTTGGTGGCTGCTACCAGGCCTATCAGCTTGGCCGCTCCTTCCCTGCCATACAGGTGGTTCTTTCTTAGGGGGCCAGTGAGCTCTGAGCTTTAATCCTTTCTAGCTCCAGGCATGCAGGTATGCCCCATCATACTGGGCCTCCTCGCAGCTTCATTCCTTCAACCTCACATCTTCCTCTTTATCTTCCACCAGCTCTCTCCAACTCTCTTGCCACTAAGCAGGTTCTAACACTTTTAAGGGTGTCCAGCCCTTGCCAAGCCTTCTGTTGGTCCCTCAAGAGTGAAGCCAGCCACTCCTCAAATCCACCCATTGCCTCTAGAGCTTTCCTCCAAAGCCCTAGACCAGGGGAAATTCCAGAGAAGCTGGCCTACAGAGCCTCTCAGCTCCTGACCATAATTTGAACGTCTGGCTATTACACCTAGCTGCTACTCAGTCTCCCTGACTAACAATTAAATACTAGCTTCCCCTAGCTAAACTAGGAGGGAGCTACATATATATTCCTTGATTGCGGTACATGCACTGATGAGAATGCAGCATTCCTCTTGTGCATGGGTGAAATTTAAATGGAAGGTTGTGAAACATCTAAAGGGAAGTTTTGAAAAAGGGGAGGTACTGGGAGTTGGGTAGGGCGTGGATCCAAGGGATAATGCTCAAAGACGGGTAGGGGCAGAGGGAGACATGGGGTAACTCAGAAGTGGAGAGTACCTGCACCTATTCTTTGAGAAAAAAAGCCTTGCTATATAATATAAAATGTTTTTTTTAACATACCCACAGCTACTTTTTGTGCATGGCACCTTTGAAATCCCATTCACACTAATCGTATTTGCACTCTTTCACAGCCTCTCTTTATTTTTACTCCAGAGGAACTGTTGAAGTGATTTTCAGGTCTCAGGGAACCCCTGCAAAAACTAATTCATTGGGGGTCAATGGGGAAAATGCCCCTTTACAGTTGTAGTCAAAATGGCACCCTCACAGATAGCTAGAAAGATAACGGACGTCATGACATTTACTTTACCAAGTGGTGTTGACCCTGAAACTATGCAGACACCATACAATGGAAGGCCAATTAACTACAGCTCAGGGAACCCCTAGAGACCTCTGGAGGAACCCTGATTGAGAAAGACTGCTCTGTTGAACAGGTCATAAAATGTCTAGAGTTTTTCTTGTACCTAATAATTGAGCTTTTATTTGTTTTTGTTGATCTGTTTCTATTCTTTTTTTTTAAGATCCATAATATTTTGCTATGGTGCATCTCGCGGTCACACCGGAGTCTGCCTTAGCAGATGAACCAGTGAAGATCAAAGCCTGGGGCCTTCCTCCACATCAAATTGTTACCATTAGAGCATGGATGAAAGATGACAGAGGAGAGATGTTTTACTCTAGAGCTTTCTATATAAGTGATGATAAAGGAATAGTGGATCTTCAGCAATCCCCAGCCACTGGTGGAGACTTTCATGGGCTTCATCCAATGGGACTTTTCTGGTCTCTAAAGTCAGTTACTCCACACCTCAGGTTGATCAAGCGGGATGTGATGGGAAGTCCCTTTGAGATTCACCTGGAACTCTACGGTCAGCTGGAGCTTTATACTAAGCCAGAAAGTTCTCCTGAAGCTACTGCGTGTCTGAAAAGATGGTATGTGGCTCCTGAGGTCCAGAGATTGCAAGTCCGAGAAGGGCGACTTCGGGGAGCTCTCTTCATTCCTCCAGGCAAGAAATTCTTGTTGAGATTTCTATCAACAGAAATCCTCTCTGCCATTTTATGAAAACATCATAAGATTAAGTAGATGAGTTCCATACTGTTGAAGCGATGTGACTGCAGATAGGAGTCTGTTTTACTCAGCAGCTGATATCATAACAATGACCCTATATATATTATTATACAGGATTTATATAGCGCCAACAGTTTGCTCAGCGCTTTACAATATAACGGGAGACAATACAGCAACAATACAGTTCAATACAAGAGGGATAGGAGGGCCCTGCTCCTCGGAGCTTACAATCTAGGAGTCTGTTTGTGTGTGTATATATAATATATATATATATATATATATATATATATATATATTTATCTTGATGCATAGGCATTTTTGTACTTTCCCAGTATTTGTAGAGTATCAAAAGTCTGCATTGTATGTGACTTTAAATGGTGGCATACGGATTCCCTTCTTGATTATAATGGCACTCAAGTTATGATTCCAGATGTCCTACCACTTAATTATATGCTCAAGCTTTGTATCAAAAGACATATTAATGGTGCACAGTTCACAGATCTAGAACAATAGCATAGTGCAGGGGTGTCCAAACTTTTTTCAAAGAGGGCCAGATTGGATGAAGTGAACATGGTGGAGGGGCCGAACATTTTTCCGAACATTCTTTGAACCATTACAATTAAATGCAAATAAATTATTTTATGCCAAGTTAATTGCAAACGACATACTTTTCATTTCATAACATTAAGATCAACTGACAGCTGAGTTTTCACAATGTATTGAAAAATAAATTTAAAAAAAACTTACCTGCACTAATGTGAAGGGTGAAAAAGGTAGCTGGAGCTGACATCTCTGTTCGGCAGCCGGGAGGGGAAGAGAAACACACTTCACGCTGGAAGCCCGGCCCTGACGTCACCGCCCTCTGTCGCTCCCAGCGCGGCGCAGTCACGCATGCGCACTGCTCTCAAGCAGAAGACTGTCTGCCACAGAAGGGAGGGCCGTGCGACAGCCGCATTTACACAGACCAGGGAGAACGCGCCGCAGTCAGGCATGCGCACTGCCCTCTGCTCTCAAGCAGAAGACTGTCTGCCATAGAAGGGAGGGCCGTGGGAGGGCCACATTACACAGAGCAGGGAGGGCTGTTGGAGGGCCGTATTAAACCGACCCCGGGGCCGTAAATGGCCCGCGGGCCGGACTTTGGACATGCCTGGCATAGTGTCTACTATCGATCTATATCCTTGTTCGCAATGTTTTTTTTGGCCAAATTGTTTTCCTGTTTCCATATTTCTTTGTATGGGCCCCAAAGTTAGGACCTGATCTTTTACTGTGCCCACAGAATAAAGAGCCTCAACTACATAAAAGGAAACAAGGGTACCATCATCCAAAATGACTATATAGGAGCTAAAGGGGAATAACTATCTCGGTACCCATTAACAGCAAAATAAGATAAAAAGATATATTTTTATTGATACAAAAAATTTAAAAATTTGTCAAACATATATATCAGGGGTCCCCAAACTTTCTAAATAAAGGGCCAGTTTACTTTTCTTCAGACTTTAGGGGGGTGGGGGCGGAGTGTGACCAATGGGAATAGAAAATGTTCTGGCATCAATGAGGGTAAACAATTCCCCATCTTTAGTGTTAGGGGAGGAATAGTGCCCCAACATTGGTTTCAGTGGGAGGAATAGTGCCCCAACATTGGTGTCAGTGGGAGGAATAGTGCCCCAACATTGGTGTCAGTGGGAGGAATAGTGCCCCAACATTGGTGTCAGTGGGAGGAATAGTGCCCCAACATTGGTGTCAGTGGGAGGAATAGTGCCCCAACATTGGTGTCAGTGGGAGGAATAGTGCCCCAACATTGGTGTCAGTGGGAGGAATAGTGCCCCATTGTTGGTGTCATTGGGAGAAATAATACCCCATTGTTAGTGTCAGTGAGAGGAATAGTGCCTCAAGGGCAGGATGAAGGCAAGCAAAAGGCCACATACGGCAGTTTAGGGGCCACTGATGTGCATGAATTCATATAAAACTACATGATATACCCGCATGGTGTGATGAATTATATAAATTATTGTAACTCTGCCACCTAAGATGATATAGCCATGGGGGGGGGGGGGGGTACATGTGGACTCCTCTACATTTTTGCGGACATAATCCACTTCTTCAGGAGGAAAAGTCAAGATATACTCTGCCCATAGATAGAATCAAACTTCCACAGAGTGTAAGGTATGTCTTAAAGTGCCTATACATACACATTACATATATAAAATGGTGTTTATATCCTCTATAGAAGTGTTCCACTTTGCTCATCTGTGACAGGAGTAAAGACTCAATACCTGCCAATAGTGCCATCTCTATCTCATGAATAAGAGTGGCTAATGCAGCACAAATTTTGATACATTTCCATATAAGTGATATCACCATGGCTTTTTTTTTTAGAGAATAGGTGCAGGAATTCAACCATGCCCCGTCCACTACCAAACCTTCCCCAGGGAGGAGAGCACACCAAATCAAATGGTGGGAGGGTCTTAAAAGGGCATTAAATACCAGGAGTACACTACATACAGAATGCAGAGTTCAGGAGTGTGCTGCATACAGTGTGCTTGGTTCAGGAGTGAGCTATGTACAGAGTGCAGGGTTCAGGAGTGAGCTATGTACAGAATGCAGAGTTCAGGAGTGTGCTGCATACAGTGTGCTTGGTTCAGGAGTGAGCTATGTACAGTGTGCTTGGTTCAGGAGTGAGCTATGTACAGAGTGCAGGGTTCAGGAGTGAGCTATGTACAGAGTTCAGGGTTCAGGAGTGAGCTATGTATGTGCAAGGTTCAGGAGTACTCTACATACAGAGTGTAGAGCTCAAGGGTGCACTATGTAAAGAGTGTACAGATCAGGAGTGTTCTACATACAGAGCGAAGAGAGTAGACGTGTGCATTTCGTTTTGTATCTAATCAATTTTTGTCCAAAAATTTTATTTTTGGAGATTCAGATGTATACAAATCTCCAAATGGACATAGTAATGAATGTCAATGAATCTGAAAAAAGTTATAACGATATTAACGAATTGTTTCATTTGGATGATATCACATGATAGTGATAGTACCGTGTTTCCCCGAAAATAAGACATCCTCCGAAAATAAGACCTACTTACAGGTTTCCTTCTGGGTGAAATATAAGACATCCCCCCGAAAATAAGACCCCTCTAGGCTCTGTCTCGTAATGAAAATTAATTTACCGTAAACTGGTTGCTAGGGCCGCCTCGACTGGCGTCTAGCAACCAGTGACGTCACTGCTGTGTGGAGGCGGAGCGGAGGTCGAAGTGAGCGGGAGAGATATGCGTGTAGAAGAACAGGAGGATCAGAGCGGACGGGACGGGGCGAAGGTGGTGAGTGCTGGTCTGTCTCTGGTGACACCGCCCTCATGATGACTGAAGGTTCTCAGTCAGTGGCAGACCCTGCTCCAGCCCAGGTCCAGGCCCCAGCCAGCCCAATGACAGGCCCCAGGGGGGAAATGTCCGATAAAGGGGTGGGGGGGATGTCTGGTGAAGGTGTTCAGTGGCACAGGGGGTGGGGGGAGGGGGATCACTTAAAATGACACAGGAGGATCAGAGAGGGCAATCAAAATGACACAGGAGGATCAGGGGGCAATCAAAATGACACAGGAGGATCAGAGGGGGCAATCAAAATGACACAGGAGGATCAGAGGGGGCAATCAAAATGACACAGGAGGATCAGAGGGGGCAATCAAAATGACACAGGAGGATCAGAGGGGGCAATCAAAATGACACAGGAGGATCAGAGGGGCAATCAAAATGACACAGGAGGATCAGAGGGGGCAATCAAAATGACACAGGAGGATCAGAGGGGGCAATCAAAATGACACAGGAGGATCAGAGGGGGCAATCAAAATGACACAGGAGGATCAGAGGGGGCAATCAAAATGACACAGGAGGATCAGAGGGGGCAATCAAAATGACACAGGAGGATCAGAGGGGACAATCAAAATGACACAGGAGGATCAAAAGGTCTGAACAATGTCTGGAATGACCCATTTTCCTCAGAATTTCAGAGAGAAATGCACTGTAACCAGCATGTACAACATTTGCTGCCTTCCTTCCTTAAATAAGGGCAATAATTGCCACCTGTTTTTCAAAGAATGAATGACGTCACTAATAGAACTCCACACTGCTATTATTTTGAACATGCCCCTTTCAATGAGTGATTCAATGACACAGAATCAGCAGCATGCATGTCATGACTGTTGGGTCTGTTGGATTTCTATTACTCTACTACACCTGCTAGTAAATTATTTGCCATGTAGAAATATCATTTCTACCAAAAACAGTGATTGATCCAGTTAGTGATGTCTGACTGCTATTATTTCGAACACAACTGTATATAGTGCCGTCAATTTACACAGCACTTTACATATATATATTGTACATTCACATGAGTCCCTAACCCTCACGGGGTGTACAATCTAAGGTCCCTAACTCACATTCATACATTAGGCCCAATTTAGACAGGATCCAATTAACCTACCAGCATATCTTTGGAGTGTAGGAGGAAACCAGAGTACCCGGAGGAAACCCATGCAGGCACAGGAAGAACATGCAAACTCCAGGCAGATGGTGCTGTGGTTGGGATTTGAACCAACAATCATTTAGCCACTGTGCATGCCATGTCTGTGATAAAATAAACTTACCTGACTATTGACCATTCCCCCCAGAATGTGAACCACAGGATGGGGATGGGGGGATGAGGTAACCTAGCTTTATTGCTAAACTTCAGTAGATTAAAGTCAGATTAGTAGCCTGGCTTTGCATTTTGGATAGGCTGTGTAAATCTCAGGAATGCATGGAGAGAAAACAACAAGCCGGTCAAAAAGCTAGCATGTCTGTATTGCAACTCTGTATATGCAGTACTTTAAGTTCAGCTGAACCTTTACCTATAGAATTCAACTTTCTGCTCTCTATCTAGGTGATGGCCCATTCCAAGGAGTCATTGATCTGTTCGGGGGTAATGGCGGCCTCACAGAATTTCGAAGCAGCCTCCTGGCTAGTCGTGGCTTTGCAACGCTTGCTTTAGCTTTTTTTGCTTATGAAGATTTACCAAAGACCCTCAACTCTCTGGATCTAAAATATTTTGAAGAGGCTGCTCAGTTTCTAAGCAGTCATCCAAAAGTAAGTAAAAAATATTACAGGTAGATAAAATTGTATTGTCAGAGAATGCAGCGCTAAATTAAAAAATGTAGATAAAAATAGACAATGTGCAAAATATTCATATAGATGCGCTGTGGAGCGCTCAATAAATAGCAAGTGTAGGACGTCTGTATCGTATGTTGCTCGCATCATTTTATTTAGTTGCATTATGCTCATTATTATTTTTATTACGGAACATATGCTCTTAGTAATCCTTGTCCCTTTGTGTATTTTATTTTTGGTTGCATGTTGTATTATATGTGATGGTTAACTCCTATTTTATTTATATGTTTTAACTTGGTTTTCTCATACCATTAGAGGAACACTAATTGATTTTTGCTATCTGGAACTAGTAGCTCCACGTTATGGATATGCTGGCAACTTTGACCAACACGCTGGTTATACCAGGCTACAGTAAAATGGTGTCCTTTCTTGCTTTTTCCTTAATAGAAAGATCACTCCATTATCATCCTCTATTTAAAGAAATATTGATATCTGCCTCCCTCTTCCTCATTGTGTGCCATACTGAGGCAATACGAATGATTTTTACATCTTAATCTAGTCGGACAGGACACTGTCATCTACATGTCCGTCCGTTCCTCTGATGTTGTAGTGATAACCAGTAAAATGGCCGCTCCGTGCATATCGCGCATGCGTGCGGCATACTATAAATTACCTCATTTGGCTAGTGTGCGCTCCCTTTGATAACGTGCTCGTAAGCACGAAACGTGTCAGGGTGGAGCCTAGCTGGTGACGTCACGCCGTTCGGGCCGCGTGGAGGCCGGTGGCCATCTTTAATACTGTTTTTTTGCTGATGTGAGTTTTACTATATGTGTGTATTCATCAAATAAAGTAGAAAATACTGCACTATCAAGATCTTTGCTTGGGCTTGTTTTATTACGAGCCTCCCCTTTTAACCACTTCCAGACCGGACACTTTTACCCCCTTCCTGACCAGGGCAATTTTCAGCTTTCAGCGCTATCACACTTTGAATGACAATTGCGCAGTCATGCAACACTGTACCCAAATTAATTTTTTACCATTTTTTTGAGACAGATAAAGCTTTATTTTGGTGGTATTTATTCACCGCTGGGATTTTTATTTTTTTTGCTATGTAAATGAAAAAGTCCAAACATTTTGAACAAAAGTGTTTTTTTTATAAAATTTTGCAAATAAATAATATTTCATCATAAATCTTTGCCAAAATTTATTCCGTTATCTTTTTAGTAAAAAAAACAAAAAAAAACAAATTAGTTTATAACCAAAAATTATAATTTTTTAAACATTTATTTTTTACATTTTTATTTTTATTATATTATTGTTTTTTATTTTATTTTTATTTTTTTACATACTGTCACCCTAGCAGTACAGTGTCACCATGGTGACAATGTACTACTTGTGGGGGGTGATGAAGATTTTTTTTTTTACACTGATTGCTTTTACACCCATATAGGATGTAAAAGAAATCATTTCTCTTTCTCTCTGTGTGCATTCCTGCACTCATTGAGAATTACTGAGTGAGCTGTGATTGGTCAAAGCTTGTCACATGGTACAAGGCTGTTGTGAATAGCCTTGTACCATGTGACCTCTGTGATCATTCACAGATTTCACACGTAGTAAGCAATGATGTCACAAGTGACATCTTGCTTACTACTTTGCATGTGATCACTGATTGGCCAATCAGTGATCACATGATCGGGACCTCGTACAGAGGTCCCGTCCGACGATCGGTGTCTCACTGTGTCCGGAGGACACAGCGGGCACCGGATCACGGTGCTGTGCGCTCCCAGGGAGCGCGCACAAGCAGGGTGCGGGGAGGTCGTTTATAAACGGCCACCCGACCCTGCACTGCCACCGTCCGGCCGTTTATATGCAACAGCCGGTCGGGAAGTGGTTAAGGTGGATCCTTGTTTTGGTGCCCCATAACTGCCACTGTGAGGTTTCCATGCTGGATGGCTTAGTATCTATGATACCTGGATCATGACCCCCTGCTGGATGTAATACCACGTGGAGAGAGATGACATGCTGATCACCTGTTGTGCTGCTGGTTTGCCAGATGATCTCCTGATTCTTGCTTTTTCCAGATCCGGACAACCAGAAGTGGTCTGACAACTCAAAGGCGCATATATTTGCGCTATCTGGTTAGTGCATTATACACCCATTCACAGTCACGGGAGTGTGACGGACGCTACCACCAATATGTGACGATCCCATGATCGCTGTCACCAATATGTGACGAACGCGGCGTCAGACCCCAGCCCTTATCACCAAACTCGTGACCGAAGGACTAGCCAATCTTAAAACCGCGATGTCACGTGCGTAACAACACCACACTCAGCTGCACACTGCACAACGATTTTCCAGCTAATTGGACCACAATAGATGCACCAGCAGCCTGAATGCGATTGTTTCTGGGTCAGGTTAATTACACAATTAACCCTTCACACTGCCACCACCTCCTTTTTGTACAGAGAAAGAGGAAACTCGGCGATATCAGCTATAACACTATGATGGTTGAGATAATCGTCTGTATAAAACGGACACTGCAGGCCGGTTATACAGAGGGTTAAACAAACACAGTAGCGTCTCTTTTAGAGGCAGGAACTCGTAAATTGCAATTAAGAGCTATAGAAACAGTTCAACACTTTCAGAAGGAAAGATTTATTACTGAAAAGTCAGAAAGGGGTGCAATAAAAATATTTACAGAAAAAGATGTAACTAATATGTATATATAAATATACAGAGAACAACAGCACAGCAAAGAAATATCAGAGAGGTGAAAGGGTTAAGGTACTTGCCAAAGTCCTGGGTTAGCAGATCCAAGTTTCTGAGCGAAGGGGCACAGGTCTCCCCAGGTGGTACTGATGTTAAAATGGGAGACGTCTTCAACTTTGCTCTCTTAGGCCTGACAGCCCATTTTGTAGTTCCCCAGCAGGGGGTGTCTCTGAATTCAAGGACCAATACCCAGTTTAGGGCATGGAGGTCTGGGCGGATACCTCAACTAAAGCCAAAATCTCTCCTAACTCATATTTTGGCCCATAACTTTCCATCTGCACAAGTGACATTCCACCCGCGTCCAGATTATTATGCAGACACGTCTGAGGATTGATTAGATATGAATTATGAAATTATACACTGAACGGTTCACGAGATCTACTTTTCAGCTTTCCTATGTATTCGAGACAAGGCGAGTGACCTACCAAAATGTTTGTCTCCTATTAGCCAATCTGACGATATGTCCAGTTTTTTTATGTAAGTCTCTCATATTCCAAGATATGAGACATAGGGGGAAAATGGATTTTAACAAAGGTTATCTGGTCGTGTTTCCTTGGAATGTTCTTGGAACTCCTGGGAAATCTTGCCTTATCTTATACGAGGTGTTACATTTTACAGGTTCTTTGGACAGTGAGGCCCCGGCTCCCTTGGGGGTCCTATAGCTCATAGCTCCCCTGCTGGCTCTGGCCTGTGACACTTTTAACACACACACAGGCTGCCATACCATATGTCACTGTGCCTCTCAGAGAGGGAGGGAGGGAAGAATGAGGGAATAACATGGATACTCTTAACAAAATGGAGGCTGCGTCCTTCACTGTGTGTACGCTGGTTACAGGAAGTCACTGTTTTCACCATTATGTGATTATTTGACATTATTACTTTGCGTGATTTTATATCCAGTTTATTTTATGTCACTCATTGCACTTTAAACGTCACCATCATAGACGGTTTACACTTGCTATTTATTGAACGCTCCACAGCGTATCTATATGAATATTTTGCACATTATTGTCTATTTTTATCTACATTTTTTAATTTAGCGCTGAATTCTCTGACAGTTTTTGTTTCAAAGGTTGAGAGGTTGTACCTTTATGCTAGCTGCTCATTCTCTAATCAGATCCTAGCGCTCGTATACCGCCTTCTTTTTATCAGATAAAATTGTATAGCTTCATGAATAAAAAGTTGAGATTAGAAAATGTGAAACTCGTGATAATTCCACTGGTGTTTCAAAGGCAACAAATGGGTCGTGGTTACAATACATGAGCAACAGACAGATAATAATTACAATACATCGGCAACAAACATGCAATTATTATAGCAATATAACAGGTTTCCAGGAATTCTTTTCTCCTTTTAGCCACACATACTGTCAGTAGGAAGAGAATATACATCTCATGCCCATGCCTCCTTTAGGGTCTCTCCTCTCTAATGCTGGCTCACCATTCTGGACATTGGCTAACGGTAGTAGTTGCATTTATATTAGTTCTCCAGTCAATCAGCGGTGGAGCCACAGGAATCACCTGTAGGCCCAGTAATCAAACACGCTATTTGGAGATTTCAACTCAAATCCAGAGAGCTCCTTGCTGCAGTGATGATATATGAAGCCTTCTCATCCCAAATTATTGGTCAACAATCCATATCCTTAAAATGCAGGCAAGAACATTGGCAAGTGCCCCCCTTAACCAAACACCAAGATAGGTTTTTTTTCCTGCAGTTTGCTGCCTGCCACCAAGATGTCAAGTTGCTCTTTTGCTAAGGATCCCCACTTATCTCTTTTCATCTGGCTGTCCAACTTTTACAATCCCAAACAGTAATTGGCACATGCATGCAACATTCACTTTTCTGATGCAATGGATTAGCCATATCTCAGTACAAAAGAGTAACTTTCATTGGCCTTCAGCTTGGCACTGACATGTCAAGTCATATGACAGCAGAAGGGGTTACATGTCACTGCCAGCTGTTCTCCAATTATATCAGTTCCCTATGTATTCTGTTTGAAGCTGATGTATGACAATAACACACAATTTCCCTGTCATCCATAGTGCCATTATGAGGTTTCCTTTTCATACTTTGTGAAGCATGAGCAAACCAGGTTCTGCTGCTTTTCACAGTGCAGTCATGTTGTGAGCATGCTTGCAGGATGGTGGAACCTAGGGATGACCTCATCAGTTTACTGCCACTTCTTTATTGTCCAATCAGCAGGCTGG